ACCATGTCCTTTTCTAATGTGTTTTGTCAATTTATCATCATCTCTAATATTATGGCATGTGAAATTATTAATTAAGTATTTGTATTTTTTTTTGTTAATATTTTTGGGCATATTTTGAAATTGGAAAAATAATTTTATGACAAGAAATCTCGGAAAACAACCTCATTTGCTAAACATCAACCAAAATTAATTAAAATGTAATAATAAAATTAAGATTTTTTAAACAAATTTGGCAGTTTCTACCAAAATGAAAAATAAACAAAATACCAATTCACTAGCCTTTGGCTGTATCTATATAAGGAATTTTAATTTATTTATTAAAGAAAAATTGTTGAATGATATTTTATTGCAAAATTGTCAAACTTTGGAATAAATTTTAACTTCAGAAAATGATATATAGTAATGAGTGAGGTTAATCTTTAATGTGAAAAACCGATTTCCATTAGTTCTATTATAATTGGATAAATAACTCGATAAAACTTATTTCTTTCCATAAAATGGGTATCCATTTATCCAAATTTATATATTACATTAAGAAACCTGTTAGCAATATACTGATCTTTATCACTAGTGTTGAGACCGAGTTTTTATGCTTAACATAATTAAACCTTATCTTCCGCCAAACATGACGTAAAATAGATCGACTAGTTTTCCCAATATAAATTCTATTGTAAATTGATCTTACTTAAACTTACAAGATATAGAAGAAAAAAATCGATACGATTTCGCTAAAATAAAACCGGAAATTGTAAATGTTTTACATATATTTTTAATTGTCTATATATAATTTTCAATTCTCAATTATACTTTACTAATTACTAAAGATTTATTGATTTAAATGGGTTTCATAAGAAAAAATTAAATAGTGATGCCAAAATAGATATCTTATATGCTTTTACCCTATGTTTTTGTTAGTTTATATGGATAATTTTTTACGCTATTCGCGATACTCCCCGTCTGAATTATTATGACCCGATAATAAATTAAGTGACTCTAAGGTGAACCTGAATATTTTTCTTAACAATGTTGACATGGGGAATAAGTGTCATAAACAGAATTTATATCTAGTTAATGAAAGACGTATTTTAATTCAATTAAAGCTATTCACTGTCTTAAAATCCCATCACCATTTCTCCAATATTTTTTAAATCAAAATTATATATATTTATTTACGGTCATTTAAACTTTTGATTTATTTGATTTTTTATTTAATTATTTATGATTTGTCACATTGTTTTGTTTAATGTAAAGAATGAGCATTATTAAATTATATTAAACATTTTTCCTTTTTCAAATCTTTCGGATATAAATTAATCTATCTGCCAAATTGAGTTATTTTTTTAATAAAAAAAATATATTCTTTTAATTTTAAGGTATATTATATAGATTTTTCATATTTAATTTATTTAGAAAATATGCCGGTATTTGATTTATTAGTGATGCAAAATCGCTCCATTTGGGCCGATTTTTAAAAATGACTTACTCAATATTTTAGCCAGAAAAATATTGTCTAAGCCGCGAGATTTCGCTAATAGTTGTCCAAACTTTTGTGCCATATATGAGCAAAATCTTCAGCCTCGCGTAATATTTTTCTGGATAAAATACTGAGTTAGGCATTTTAAATAAATCGGCCCAAATAAAATGATTTTACATCACTATGATTTATTATTCTGGCAGATAATATATTTACTAGTTTATTATTTTTAAAATTTTGTGTATAAGAGGGTCTTGGCTCACTTCTTTGTCGTTTCTATTAAAACTCAAAACGCTATAATTAATCCTCGACATTCCGAACCGCTGATTTGGGTTTCTATTGTCTGATTTATGGATAAAATTGAATTATAAACTACAGACTTATAAATATGCTGATATACAGATATTTAAAATTTAATAAGCTAATTTAAAATTTAAAATTAAATTGAAGCTTACATAAGTTATTTTTATAAAATATTTTAGGTTTATAATTTAAAAAATCTAAATTCCAAAATAACTCAATCAGGGGCGTCACAGCCCTTACAATCTCAGGATATTTTTGTAAAATTATTTTCAATTTTCATGGGGCTCTTCAAATTTTTGGGGGCTCGATTTCTTGCTCACCCTAGTGATCCTACTAAACTCAACGTTTCAAATATGTTTTCTAAAAAAATTCATAAATTTTAATGCAACCTTTATATGCTTTATCTATTTGTCCCCTATTTTTTATTGCAGAATATTTGAGCTACTTTACTTTAAAGAAGTGAATTATGAGAATGTATAAATTTTTACCAGCGTAACCCTGAATTCATATTCAGCGGAATTCAGAGTAATGCTTATGATTCGATTTTGTTAGATTGCAAAAACAAAAATTGAAATTTTAGGTGATAATAATAAATATAATATTTATTTACCCTGGCATAGTTTTATAAATTGTTTGAAACATATAGAAAAAAATGGGGATAATCCTTTGCAAACCTTTAAATATAAAAATTTGAGCTGGCAAAATATTCAACACTTCAATTATGGTAGCATCTTTAAGCAAATTGAATAATTTTTCTAAAGTATAATATATTTTTTATTACTTAGCTAGGCTAAATTATTTTACATCACGAAAAATGATAGCTTAAATATTTGGCTTTTAATAGCTAGTTATCCATAATCAATAAATTTTATTTCAGGTATACATTTGTAGGCGCGTAGCCAAGAATTTTCTACGTAAGAGTAATTTTTTTAAAAAAATTGAAATGATTTTTTTCGAATATTGATAAATATTAGAACTAATCATCATTCAAAATATTAAGCTTAATATTTTTAAAGATATTATATGTATATGCAAATTAGTAGGCAGTGTAGCGTCATTATGAAAAGGTTCGTAGGAGCTCAAGCCTCCTGGAAACTTTGAAGAGCCCTCTTTAAAATATTGACTTTTTTAGATAAAATTCTTTCTTTTTTTACATATTTTAGAGAATTACTTTTAATATGCTAATTTCAGATAGAATTTTTTTTTCCTTCATAGATAGAATTACACCTTCTTTTTTTTTTACTAATATGAGAATTTTTAAAATTATAGGTATTCTAAACATGTTAGAATATATTTCCATTAAAATAAGATTTTAAATTTATAAAACGAGCTTAAAAAATGGTTTGAAGTTGAAAAAATGACACATCGACGCTAACATATATCTGGTAGTCATATGACGATTAACAAATATTTGCGTCAAGATTTGTAACAAAAGTGTGATACCAAAATGGTTATTTTTTAAATTAAAGATACTTTTACAATTCAAAACTTTTTATATTTCTTCATGAATATTTTATTATAAATAAGTTGTTTAGAATATATACAGAGTTGGGTTGAGTACCCCCACCCCCTAGCTACGCACCTGATAAAGTTATAAAAGTCTTAGGATTAAAATAAAGCTAATATTCTGCATCCTATTATATTAATAATAAAGGCCCATGAATGTATACAACAGTTTTTCTAATAGCTTAATGTTATAGTAATTATTCAAGGGTAGTCGGCGTTATTATAAAGTATAAAATATCTAAAATTTGTTTTATTTTTTTGTGAATAAGGAAACTATCTATGCTTTTATTTCATCAAGACAATTATCAACTATTATTATAACCGTCCATACATAATATCGATTTTCACATTAGTGTAACATGGGATTTATGGTAATCCATTTATATATTATTCCCTCTTCCAACACGCAACAAGAGTGGGGTGCCATGCTCCAAGAATACTTGGAGAATACACTCTATAATTCCCTGAACAATAGATTCAGGATGAATAAAAAAAATTTACACAATCCAAAAACCTTGGGTTGTAATTAAGTTTAGAAATAAGTTTTGCTTTAGAAATTTGATTAAGCCACACAATTGCATTATCGATGCACAGAAGACTTAGCTATTTCATTTTCCTCTTGTATATAAGATCCACTAGAGGGTGGGAGAGAGTATAACACAAAGGCTCGAGCCCCCTAAAAAATTTGAAAATCCTCCTAAAACATTTTTTTTAAATATCTAAAAAAGGATAATTTTGAAAATATTAGCCCAAAAAATTATAATATTTTTGAGCTTCCTGATTTGTAAGGGCTAGTGACACTAGTGTTATTAACATTAGTATGTAAATATTTTTGTTAGATTTATAGATTATTAACCTTACATATTTCTATTTTTGAAATTTTTGGTCAAGTATATCATACGATTATAATTAGAACAAATGTATTATAAATACTAAAAAGGGAGAATTTTTATATATAAATATTTTTGTTTTTTAACGATAATGCACCTTTTTTTTTTACAAATTCAAGTCAAGGCTACATTTATTATTACTTTGATACAAAACCTTTTTTAAATAATGATAGATATATCCAATTTTTGAGAGAGGATGTGGGGCAGCGTTTTGGTGAAAGGAAAAAAACTGGAGGCAAAAATAGACCTATATTTCTCCCTAATCTCCAAAATTTAATTGCGTACGCCCCCATGAACCTACCCTCCTCCCCCGAAAAATATATGGAGGCAAATTACTTACCCTGCTAATATAGAGACCTAAAACTTTAAAATTTGTTAAGGACAAAAATATTTCTATGTTTCCACTTTCCTCAATCCTGGTTGTCTTTTGAAATATTTTCTTAATAATATCCAGCTCATTATTTACCCCCTTTCCCTCTTTAAAATCATCTGTTCTGTTATTTATAAAATAGTTTCTCAATTGACCCATAATCTCCATTAAATAAAGGTTTCTTAGTAACTTAAAAAAAATTGACATAGGTAATTTGATATAGGTCATCGGCCCGGTTATTTTTATTTAGTTAGGTCTTTTAACTTTTTTGCTAATAAATAAGGAACTTTAATTTATACATCGAAATTTATGAAGTAAAGTTTTATTTATATTTTTTATAAATTTTTCTATATATATAAAAGTATAACTACTACATTGATTTAACAAAAAAGAAAAGAAACTTGAAAATGATAAAATTTATTTGTTTTCTTTTTTTATAAAAAAAAATGCATCGGGAACCTTCTTGGGATAAATATAAAAATTATGTATATTGTACAAATAAATAAGAAAGCGATATAAATAAAGTCGAAGCTTTGTAAAATAATTTTGAATTACATATATAATAATTATGTCTAATCTAATTATTATCACTTATTTATATTGAGTATAAAAATTATGTTAAAGTTAAATTTAAAAAAAAATAAGAATGTTAATGACTAAAAGTAGTATTGTTAAAAAGCCCAATTCGGATCCATTTAAAAAATACGGTCCGATTAAAATTATAACCAAAATAACATGATGTAGGCGCCTAAAGATTTTGCACATAGCTGGCAGAATTGCTTGAACATCTATTTGTCAAATCTTGATGCTTAAATAATATATATTTTAACTAAAATCTTAATCGGGCCGTTTTGAAAAATCGACCCATATCGGGCTTTTAAACAACACTAACTACAAGTAATCTCCTCTTTCTTTTATAAAAGAGAGTATTACCATAAATGGGACATTAAAAATTAAGTTTTAAAAATGTTTATTTTTTAAAAACATGTTATCACTTTTGAGAATTTAAAAAATAAAATATAATAATAATACATTAGTTTAAAATTAAAAAAATTACTTTCAAAAAAAAAATTGTTTATAAAATTATTACAAAGTAAAGCCGTAATATTTATCCATTTTACTCTTTTTTTTGCTTTAGGCTGCATTCTTTGTGGGATCCGATATGGCAAGATTTAACAGCTGATCGATTTTTAGAATCTTGTTTATGGATTTACAATTCCATACACGATAATGATCCAAGAATTATTAATTTTAATGAAGAAAAATTGATCTCATATACAGAGTTTAAAAATCGATCAGCTAACAAATCGTGCCGGATTGGATCCCACCAGCCTTATTTCGAGCAATATTTAGTTGTTTTCTGGAAAGTTGGGCCAAAAATAGATTAGTAGCTAACGAAAAGTAAAAAAAAAATTGGACGATTAAGGTTAAAAAAAAATTTATTAAGAAAGTGACCACTGAATCGCTGTGTATTCTTCCTGTCCAATGATATCATCTATCTGGCAATGAACGCGTTTATTGACGACGTCCAATAGAATTATTTTGTTATAAGGGTTAGAATTTTTTAATGCTACATAATTGCCGAAGACCCCACTAGAGCTGAGAGATATGTTGGTACGGGGTCTTGCGGAATGAATTTTATTTCCTGATCCACCTTTATTATAGGGCGAATTTCTGTAATTGTCAATGGCGTTGCGTCTAAAGTGATATTATATTATATAGAGGTTATAAGTATATATTAATTATTTTAGTTCCGAATTGTTACTGATTAGTATATTTTCAAATATATATCTCAGAGATCTTCAAGCCTCAAGGGATGGGTCCTAATTTAACTTTTATAAATAAACCAGGGGCCTTAATATTTTTTTTAATACCCGTGTCGGGCCTGAATGTATATTATAGAACGAAATATTTTAAATAGCCATCAATATCAATAAAAATTAAAAAATAGAGAAAATATATTTTAAAAAAATTAGTACAGGTCTCTGATATATCTACAATTAATTCTTTGTTTATAAAGATAAATTACGGTAAGGGTTTCAAACTTTTCTTTCTTATTCATCGATGTTTCGAGGGTGAGTGAATAATCGTTGATTATATCGAAACTTGACCTATTGATCACGTTGAATACCACAATCCCATTTTGTTGGTTCGAGGCGAAAAGTAAATCAAATGTGCCCAAGTTATAGGAAGCATGGAAAATACGAACGTCAGGATTTATGGGAGCAACAATATCGAAAAGGTATTTGAGACCTTTTTTTATTAATTTATCCATGTGAAGTTTTATAATCAAATAATGGGATTGGAGAACCATATCAAGGTTTGACTATATTGATATATTATGTAAAAAAAATAGATGAATTATAATATGGTAAAATACCATTGATTTGATCAAGCTGATGAAATTTGATAATTCTTGTCTTTTCATCTACCGATGCCAAATATGATTGATCGGGAGAGACCAGTGGGATTCCATGCACGTCTGCTTGGTACTTGATTACGGCGTCGCTCAGAATATCTATCAATAAATATCCTTTATCGTAGCCCATGGTGTTGAAGCATCTCACTATTATAAAGCCTCCTGCACATGTTTTAATTATTATCTTTTATTTAGTGGGATTTGTTTAAATTCGTTTTCATTTAAAAAATATTTATTTAGTCCTAAATTATAATGTACGGACTTAAAAAAAATGTTACCGTAGATGTAAAAGGCTACATTTTGAGGTAGACATTGATGTGGACTTAAGTCAATTATACTAACATATTTAAAGTATCGTAGGTCTAATTTGTAAAGTCGCATTTTGTCACTATGAGTTGTGTATCCAAATCTCGCTTGAATTATTTTATCTTCCATAGAATCCGGTAAAAAAACATCCGTGACCTATGTCCACCATTAAAAATAATTTTTTTTAAAAAATCGAATTATGGACAATAAGTGAATGCTTTCTTCAGTTTGATTATAAATTTTATTTTTTTTCAGTTTAGGCTAAACTTTCGAATTTTAAAATTTTAATGAGATCATATGTTAAGTTTTTATTATTTTCTAGAATTATATTTTGGACATATTTGGATTTTTATATAAAAAAAACTTATATATGTAGGGGAAATGTGCCTTAAATTGCCATGTGTGAAGACTGGCCACCACCCTTTAACTTTTTATCTATTGGATCAATATCTCTCAAAATTGGTCAAATGTGTATATTTATGATATGTACCTTACCTAAGTTTATTTATTGAATAGAGCAATTCAATAAAAAAATATTTCAATAAACTGTTTTAAGTACTCTTTCTGGAAAAATCACGTTACACATTTTTTTGTTTGGTGAAAAAATTACTAATTTAGATTACTGATATTTTATATAAATATTATCCTTAGGCATTTAGCATTATTCACACAAAAAATTAGACTTTAAAAGCTTTATTTAATAGACATATAAGGTGCTTAATAATAATAGAGAGGTGAGTATTGACTTGCCATGTATTGATTGGCTACTCGTACATTCACATATTCTTATTAAAATGAAAAGCTCTTGCAAAACAACATTTGGTGAAATAAAATGATGAACAAGCTTAAGAATGTTTAGTAAAATGATAATTAAGATATTAATTTATAATATTATCATTTAATAGATGTGGTAATAAATTGAGATTTTAATACTAATTAAATTAGTGTATAATTAATTTTTTATATAACTAAAAAATGTAGAAATATATCAATATAGGTCTTTTACAAGTATTTCATATTGTATTATTTCATATTTATAATAAAATTCTTAAATAATATATTATGGCCAGTTAACACATAGTATAGTATATGGCCAGTCAATACATAACAACTTACATAATCTCATTTAGCTCATAAAGTATTATAATATATCTTTGATTCAAATTTTATTTTAAAAATTAATATTTAGGTTACACATTGATATAAAATTTGTTTGGTCAAACATAAATTTTAATACCTTTTTATTCAAAAAAGCAAAAACATGGCCATTCATAGCACATTTCCCCTATATATTTTTTCTATAAAGTTTCAAATGTTTGTTAATCATAATTATTTTTGATAATTTGGACTTAGCTTTATAGAAAAATAAAACTTAAAATTTGATATAATATAATATATAAAAATGCATATTTTAATTAGTAAATTTTAATTTTTTCCCCGTTCATTTTATAAAATTTGTATTTGTGGATAGATTAAGATTTAGGAAATATAGTGAGTAAAAAATGTTTAAATTTTAAGAGAATTTTGTTTTATAGAAAAATGGTGTAGTATAGATATCAGTGTTGTTAAATGGCTCGATTTGTTACGATTTTTTAAAAATCGCTAACTCAATATTGTATCCTAAAAAATATTGGCTAAACCCCGAGATTTCGCTAATAGATGTCCCAACCTTTGTGCTATCTATGACCAAAATCTTCATGCTTGCATAATGAGGCCGTTTTTATTGCCTCAAATCGAGCCCTTTGCCAACACCACTTGATATAATAAATGTGGTGTAAACTTTATTTATTTTATATAAAAAAAAACATTATTTTATTCTTTCATATTAACTTCGTCGAAATGTTCTTCTATGGGTTCTGTATGAATGATATTGTGTGTTCCAGATTTAGATGCTTCCCTTATGACCTGCAATCCTTTTAACCTTGGCCTAGATATATTTCCTCTATGAGGCTCACTGATGACCCAAACTTGATCGACGTTCGAAACGTATTTCAGTTGAAGTGGATTTATATCTACCATTAATTCCTGTAGATATTTATATATATTTAACCTCAAAATATTAAGAGAGAATAAAATTTCAATATATATACCTCTATAAACTTTTTCCCGATTATGTCAAATATGATGATCCTGTTGACATCTTTCTGTAAAACGTACATGAATTTGTTTCGAACATTTACAGCCGGTCCCCATAGACATTTTGTGCTCATTTTGCATAAATAATAGCGAGACAAATCGTTTCTCTCTAAAGCAGGGCTACCGTTATCATTCTTGGAATCGTGATTGATATGATTGGCGTATAGGTCTTTATCCAAGGAATAATTTAAAATGGATATTTTGGAGTTGTGCCGAATTCTGTCCCTCAATTTGCATTCTTGGGGATCATATATTTTCAAGCCCGATTCATCAAATATATAAAGGTCGTGTTTATCGACGTGTCTTTGTTCTTCTATAAGTACATAAAAATACATAAGACATATTATTTTTCAAAAAAAGTTTGAGTCTTTTGATTAACCTAATAAAATTGTCGACTTTTATGAACATTAAAAGAGATAGTGCTTTTAGCCAAAAAATATTCAAACGATTTTTGTCAATAGACGCATAAACCTACCACCTATGAGCTAAATCTCCGGGCTTGCGTAATATTTTTTGGCTAAAATATTGTGTTAAATGTTTTTAAAATCGAGCCGTCTAACATTACTAGCATACATCTACACTTAAATAAAACAATCTTACTTAATATATAGTATAACCACTTTCTTTACATGCTTAACCAAAAATTATTGAAAAATTATATATAATATAAGTAAGCTGAACAAAAAAAAGGGTTTAAACCATAATCGAAATTCATGGTGGGATCTTCAACGACGAATAAATCAGAATGGGCTTTGCTTGTACCGGCCCTATTAGTGAATTGGCAAGTGTAAGCGCCAGTATCCATATAGTTAACGTTTTCGATGCTTAATATGGTGCCATTTCCTTTCATTTTAATATTAAGTTTTAAATAAAATTAATATAATGGTATTTCAAAATCTTAAAATTTTTTCAGAATATTTATTGAATTCTACAATTTTTAGAAAATTTATAAAGCATTATATAAATGCAGTGTGTCAGGATAATGGGCAAACATCCAATTTATATACTGCTAAAATAGCTTGTAAACATTCCCTTTCAAGCAACGATTATAATTTCAGTAGTAATCTAGAGCAAGGTGGCGATATTTTACTCAGCCAACATACTATACCAGAACAGGATGTATGCTAACTTTTGGGGAAAGAAGCTATTGGAACTCACTAGACTTGTTCTATACCTGCAACCAGTCAGCGTCTACATAATAGAATCTGGAAACCCCCTCCCCTCAAAAATCTTATCACCTTCAGCAGCTATATTCCCACATTATTAATTGCAAGTTTTTAATTATAATGGTATTCCCTTCATAAATAATCCAATAATTATAAATTTTTTTAAATGTTCCGCTTAAAAATATTTTTGTTTAGCCAATATTATCTAATAGAAATAAGGGGGGGGGGGGGGAGGAGTTGACACAATATCGGCATTGAAATTAAAGGGGGTGGAGTATGAGAAGGAATTTGTAAAAACATTTCATCATTATAACAAAGAGGCTAGAGTGTAAAAAGTTTGAAGGAACTTTAAAATATATGGGAAAATAATAGAGGGGAAATTTTAATAGCTTAAAATGATTTACGAGAACAGGCAAATTTTCTTTGGGGGGGGGGGGACTTCTACCAACTATCATATAACTATGAATTAAAAAGTATCTTTTAACACAAATATCGTTTAACCATCTTCTTCATTTATTAAGTTTTGTTAATGTGACTTATTCCTCCACCGGTATAGGCTAAATGACGGATTATTTGAAAATTGACAATATTAATTAATAACATGATTTATCTGTATATATATATATCAAAATTTATTTTTATATTCATAATTTTAACTAGGTCTTTGTTATATTTGATTATATTTGTTTTTATTCTTATGATCTAAATTTTTTACAAATACATTATATAATCGCATTATATAGAGGTTTTGTTCATTTTTTGCCTGAATATACAAAATTTTTACAGATATTATACAGTTATAAAAATATAATTTTGTTTAAAAATTTATTCTTCCAAGGTGTCTTGTATCTTATATATTTTATGAAAAAAGATATAATATTTTGTATCTACGATGTATTAGAATACAATATTTGAACATTTTTTACCCAACCCTGTAAATTATCATTATACATATATAGAAATTTCTAAAAGAGGGTCATGTTGAATCCTTTATAGACTTATGGTAAAACCTGTATAATTAAGGCGCCGTTGGGAGGAAAATTTTTAAGTTAAATTAGAAAGTTGCCCATTTTATCAAGACTTTAGTGTTAAATAGGAATTTGATTTGGACTCAAAATTTTTAGTCAAAGGGAGTTTTCCGAACTATCAAGAGCCCAAATTAGACAAATTTTACTGTAATATCCTCCTATTAAATAAATACGTATTATGTAAGGTTATCATTGCAATAACGAATTATGTTAAGTTGAAATTATGAAGAATCGTGATTTTTAACTTAAAGTAGGGCCCGCTACGGTAAACAAAATAATTTAGGTTTTGGCTGGGTCGGGCTTAAATTTTCAAATATAATATCATTAAATTTTGTTAAATAAATTGATATATATATTAAAATTCTTGCAAGAAACAAGGCGCTAATGTTTTTTATCTGTAGAGTATTTCTTTTACAATAAAAAAAAAATTAAAATTTTTATATATTTAAATAAATTCGCATCGGGCCAGTTGGTTAAATAATTTTCATTTCGGGTGAAAATATTCGGGACAAATAAAATAAATTTCTTTTAAGATCGGGCCGAGAGGGCCGGGTTTGAAAATTGGGCTCGATGCAGATCACTATGAGGAACACTATAATTTAATACTCTAAAAATACACCCAGAAAAATAAAAATAAATTTATTGTAAGCAAGCAGTACCATAAAATTTGTAGACACTTCTATCATTATGCCCCAACTCATTGTTTTCAGGGATAACTTCTTTTGATAATGATACGCCAATGTTGGGAAAATTAAAATCATTTACCTCGACAACGCTCACGTTTCTCCGAATTAATTTTTCATTTTTATACCTTTATTATGTTTATAAATACAGGGCATTTATTGGTATTATGAATTTTTAAAAAAAAATACAATACCATTTTACACTTTCGTAACCAGGGTATGAATCTGATTGGCACATTATTCTGACACTTTTAACCCTTCCCGCCTTGATCATTTGGCCCCGGGCTGGCTTGATTCTTACACTAGGGAGTGCTATTATATGGACTACGTATGTTTGATAGATTTGATTCGTTTCGGCCAATTGATAACTGTAATTTCCAGCCATTTCCATTTGCGCGTTCATCAAATAGAGAGAACCGTCCGGAAATATCTAATAATAAGTTTCAAAAAAATATAACTAGATTTATCAAAGATGCACTGAGACTTTCTTCTTATTACTAAATAAGCATTTAAACTCTTCACCTTATAATAAAAAATTTCTTTCCATCTTAAATTTAAAAAAAATTTCAGTGTATAACTTTGATATCCTCAAATTCCCTTTCATTCAATTCGACATCGTAACGTTTCCAAATGATGGATGCTGGCAATACAAATTTTGCCCCACATTTTAATTTTAGATTTGATCCAACTTGGGCAAATTTTACTTCCTCTAGAATTCGAGAATTCAATGAATCAACATCTATTTATTTTTTTCAAAAAAAATTTACATTTAAAAAAAAGTAAATGAAATCGCTTCCTAAAAAATTATGAAAATTAAAGCCTATTCGTGATGACAAATTTTTTCGACTATTTTTCTAAACTTTAATAAAATTAACAAGCCATGGTTTTATATTTTCATTTCAAAAATTTAACATTTGGAGAGAAAAATATTTAAAAATTGCGCAAAAAATTGAATTGCTATTTTTTTTATATAAGTGTAAGTCTTAACCACACTAGCTTTTTAATCCTGTAAATAATTTTAAAAAAAAAGAAAGATGGAATGTCTTTTGGCTGAATTAATTTATACAAGTTTTTTTCCCTGTTTTATTTATCGATATAAAATTTTTTACGGAAGCAGTAACTTAAATAATATTATGATTATATAATATTTTGATTCAGAACAAAATTAATTATAAAGAATTATCAAGTTGTTTTTATCTAATTTTAGTTTACCTTTTTAAGGCAGGCTCCCTGGTTTCCCCAATATTTATTATATAAACAATAATTCTATATATTGTTAGGAATGTACTGAAAATCCGCTAGTTAGAATTTTTTCTTCTATCCCCCCATAAAAACGAATTTCAAAATAACTTTTATATTAATTCTATATTGTATACTATGCTACTAAACTAAAAGTTTGGTAAAATTCGCTCAAATCCATCATGGAATCCTTATTCCGATCTCCTTCCTTGATGAGCGTTTCCAGATAGTTTTGTATCCTAGTCCATCGATAATTCTTCAACGCTTTCGACAAATCCTTTTCTCGAGATTTAGAAGTGAGTTCTTTTGGGGTCAAAAAATTGTCACCGTTAGTGTCCCAAAAACCGAAAATTAGGTTAATCAGATACGTATCATCTCCTAGCAAAATAAAAATTAAAATATTTGGTGAGATTTTAAAGAAAAATTTGCTCTACGTTTCTATTTATTTTATTTTTCCTTTCGGTCTGTCTTCTTTCTCACTTTCTCTCTCAAAAATGAAATCTATAAAAAAAAAATTTCACTGGCAAATGGGTCATTCCCATCTATGAATTCTCTTCTGTAGTAATCTACCAGCCATTGCTTAAAAGCATTGTAGCCGACATCTTTGAACGATTTTGATTCTTTAAAGAATTGATATTGTAAATAATAATAATATATAATATTGAGTAGAAAAAACGTAATCCGTGGTAATTTTTTTTGTTTTAACCCCTATCACATAAATTCCTGAAATGGGGGGAGGGGGAGGGATGAACATTTAAGGTCATCTAAAATCAATAATCATTTACTTTTGTCTTTGGGGAAGGAGTTTCGAGGTATATTTTCTGGGGACCGTTTAATTTGTTCCTCTTTCTTTTGGGCCTGATTTCTGGTAGGTAAAATATCATAATTAGCAGCCATGTTATTTGTTATCCTAACATTTTCAATCTCGTTTTTATCTTTGAATAACATCGCTTTCACTTGATTGTAACTTACATCATTCTGATCCTCCTCGTGGGGTAAAAATAATTTTGTAAAATTTTTTTGGGTTTTCCAAGAAATTCTTTGTGAAACTTGTTTAGATTTTCCCACCTTATTATCAATATATTTTCCACCATTTTTCCCCTCAACTATGTCCGATTTATCAATTTCTTCATCGTACTCGTATTCTTTAATAATTATTGAAATCAATTTTTTTTTTTATAAATTTTTATTTAGACACGCTATATCCGCCTTTCTAAAAAATGGTATAAATTGTTGTATCAGTTATTAATTTATAAATTCACTAAAAGGATAATAATAATTAAGTTACTAGTTTTTTTAAAATGATAAAATTATTATCAGAACTGTTAACCTAAATTGTTAAACCAAAATGTTAAAATTCCAAGAAAAACTTCTAATTTAGACACAACTAGTGTGAACTATTTTTATAAAAAAGTAAAAATATTATAAAAAATCTAAATTAAGAAGAAATAAACCATCATCGGCCGTAGTTCCGCTATTGGTAACAATCAGATTATTTTCTACCGAATCTCTACAGTTAGAGAAAAGAACTGGTCTTAAAGATCGATTCCTAAGACATGCCTTACGTAATTCGCAAGCGTTGAGGTAAATTACATGATCGGATCCGCATATTTTTCCGTCCCCTTTTCTGATAGCATTACTTTTTTTGACAAAAGTACTATCGCATTTTATCGAATTTTCGGATGGTAATTCGTCACACCCATCTACCTTCTCGCGATAATAGGCATTGTAAGATTTATAATACGAATCTCTAGGAGAAGAAGAAAGTGGGGTATAAGACGTCTTCTGAAATTCTCGTTTTTCAATAATGATAGGTCGAAAATACCTGTTAGGAAAATAAGATTGAGGTTTAATAATTTGGGGTAGTTTGGTTATACCATCATTAACACTACGAGGTACTTCTTCATTTATCACGTTATTATTTTGGTCACTACTTATTTCCTCGCTTTTGGCTCTAACCTTTTCCCTCATATTTTTGTTTTTGCCAAATTTCTCCTCCTTTTCATTATTGTTATTATCCTTTCTTCCGATTGATATTGCAGGAGAATCCTTTCTATCTTCTTTATTCAAGATATCCTCGTATCGTTTGTTTATGTCCTCTATGGCCTTACCGCCGTAATCCTCATCAGGTGACGAGTATTTCTCCTTATCTAATTTCTTTTCGTAACCCGGGAATTTTGATTCTTCTTCGAAATTTTCCTCCAAATCTCCTTCTCTTTTCTTTGGCGATTCGTAATTGGTGAGTTCTTTTCCGGTGTCCTCGAATTCTTTAAGATTTCAATTCAAAAAAAAAATTAATAGAAAAGAATGTTAATTTTTAAAAAATATCTAGAATTATGTTACTTATGCCTAAATTATTATATATTTTGTCACGCTCATTTATATAGTTTCTCTATAAACCTTTAAGATTTTATTTTATTTTTCATACCTATTTCTTAGGTTCTGAGATTATCCATTAAAAAAAATATTATTTTTAATTGAAGTTAATTGGTGGGGGAGAGAGGGGGGGGGGGGGGTAATTTATTTATATTAGGCTTATTTTACGGTAATTATGGATCCTTTATAATTGACAACACTTTAAAAACAAAGTTGAATCTAAAAATAAAATGATGCAGTGTTGACCAGATTTGATGGAAAACATTTTCATAATGTTTTAATATTATTTGAAAAAAAAATTATTTGATTTATAAAAAAAATTGTTAAAATAAGATATATATTCTTATCAATTTTTATAAGCACGATTAAAAAATATAGAAATGATTTAAATTATATCTGACACAATACTGTAGTTCCTATATATAAAAATTAAGCTATAGTATATCGTAAAAATATTATTCTTTTTTTTTTATTTAGCTATTTAACCAAATGATATTAACCTGCATAAGATTTTTTAAAATGTATAAATTTTTTTTATTAAGATTTTTCTTTTTAAAGTTGAAAATTATATGATTTAAAAAATTCTAAAATATTATTTTATTTTTTTTCCAAATTTCTATCTTGAAGATAAAATTTATTCCACAAAATATATTTATAAAATTTAAATACCCCCACCTCATTAGGTATAGGTTCTAAATCGCTAAAACAAAAATCGCTAAAAATTGGGAATCTGTCTTATATCTCCTAGAAAATTTTTAAAGTAAATTTGAAATTAACACTAATAGATGCTAGGGGAGTAAACACTTGAAATTTTCTAGGATATATAAACCAGATTCCCAATTTTTAGCGATTTTTGTTTTAGGGATTTAGAACGGGAACCTAAGAAAGAATTTTATTAATTCGTAAACAGACTTCTCTAAATATTCTCTTTCTCGGTGACATGCATCACCTATTTTTTAAATGTTATTCTTTATATAAAATTTATTGGGCTTGAAATTACAAATGCCTGGGTAAACTGCAAATACCAGGGTAAACTGCAAATGCTTAGTTAAAAAATTTTGATATATTCTCTATTAATTGGAGCAAGATTCATTTTTATGATATAAATAACTTATAAAAATTAAGTTAATACATATATTCAATAATAAACAGGGATGTGAACCCGAACCCTCGTATTTTGGCTGTACCTGAACCCGGACTTAAAATTGGAGGGTTCAAGGGTTCTAGGTGGTATAAAAAAAATTTTAAAATAAAAATATTATTTTAAAAAATAATATAAATTTTTTTTAATTTTATTAACTTTTTTTCGTGTAATCATTTATTTTATCTTCGCGTTTTTCTTTCAATTTTCTTCCTTGACTTCCATTTTATTTAGAGATTGATATCATAAATTATTTTCTAGGGTAGGTAATTATATTTTATTATGATAAATTTAGTTGACTATTTTGAAAGTGAATTATTTTGTAGTGCAATTTATTTAATCATAAGCCCTTATATAATAGAAATACTTTGATTAATAAGGTTGAGAGTTTGAAGTGATGGGCAAAGGTAAAAGAGGAAAGCCAAAACTTCAATTGGGCCATAAAGTTAGAGTTAATATAAAGAAGTATAAATTAGATAAAAGAGATTGTATGAATAATATAAAGTAGAGAGAGATGTTGAAGGTGCTTACCACCTGAAAAGGTGAAAGCTAAAGAGAAAAAAAAAAAATTTTATAGTGCAAGTAAAAATATTTTAATTTACATGATAATTTATTAATATGCTATATAATTGAAATACTTTGTTTGTTTACTTGTTTTATAAAATTTTATTAAGTGATTATTTTGTATTGTTAATTAAATATCATATTATTTAAACAATATCAAGACTTTGATTCTTTGAGCGGTATATTTAAATTAATCGAAATTGGCACTGTTTTCAATTATACCTTATTATTATAAGTTAACAAATATATTCTAAGTAGCATCAAATCAGTAAATTAGATTATAATTACATTTTAAATTTCAATAATATTAAATCCGCAAGTTAGCGTATTATTTTAATTTTTTATAAAATAATACGCCAATTTTTGGATTTAATATTATTATTAAAGGTTTTAAACTATTTATATGAGATAAAAGGAAAGCCAACTATGTATATTCCTTTAATATTGAATATATCTAATAATTTAATTTTTATAAGTTATTTATATCATAGGGAAATGAATCACTTCAATTAATAGAGTAATATATATATAAATTTTACCTAAGCATTTACAGTTTACTTTACAGTGTTAAATCCGCCCTGCCCGTTTTTCAAAAAATTGACCCGGCCCGGCTTTTTTAAAATATATTACATTTATTTTAATTTATATAGCTAAAAATGCCCATTTAAAATATTCAGTTTCAATATTCTTAAGGAGGGCTAATTTTAACCTTTTTTTCAAAAAATGTTATTTTAAAAAATATTTTTTAGGATTTTAAATTTTATTTCAAATATGTTATCTTATACATAAGTTTGCATGTTATTTTTAATTACTTTATATAATAATCGATTCATTAAATTAATTAAAGACCAATATTAAAAAATGTACTATATTTTTTTGCGGGTCCCCAAGCAAACTTTTCCGCAGATTTCTAATGCTTTTGAATCCGAAAAATTTTTATGTCATTAATTTTTTACAATTATTTTTTCTTTTCATTATTTTCTTTTTCTTATTGTAATTTATTTAACAGAATAAATGTTCGCCAAGTTATTTTTATAAATAATATCGATTTAGCGAAAAATCTTTATTCTGATTAAATATTCATTATGTAAGTATAAATATAGATAATCAGAAATTATGTATTATACACTTTTTTAAAAGGACAATTTGATTTTCTTTATTTTTTGGATATAAACACATTATAGTTACAATTTTTTTCTTACTTATAAATTTGGTGAGATTCTTATCACATTTAATATTTACTGTAATTATGCACTTATTTTACAAAAATAATTTTCCTTCTTCATTTTCTAACCCTATTTTCTCCTTTTTTAAAAAAATTTATTATTTTCATTAAATATAATAGCAAATTCCATTTTTATTTATGATGATAGAGCAGGAAATTTATCAAATTAAAAATATATTCATAAAATGCTAATTCAAAATTTTTAATTAAAATACTTGAAAATGGATGTTCTAACAGATATTTGTCCGGGTTGTAAGCACAGCTCATACACGGGAAAGTTATCCATGATATCAGAATGAAATGGAATAGACTATATTTCTAAAAAAAAAATTATAATTATTTTTATATAATTTTTATTTATCCTTTGAAATATTTTATATAAAAAATATAATAATCATAGTTAAGTAAGATAGTTTAGTTATGAAACTAAAAATTGTTAGAAAATTCATTTATAATTTATGTTTCCTAGCTGGGCCGAGCCTAAAAAAACTGAGTGTGCCAGATATTTTTTAAGTCTACTAAGATTATAAATTAACTAGAGAAAAAAGATCATGACTTTCTTTTAAAACCGTTAAAAATTACGACTACTGGATTACTGTTGTTAAACGGCCCAATTAAGATTTTACCAAAAATAACATTATCAAGCCTGGAGATTTATAGGTGACAGAAAGGTTGGACCTCTATTTGCCAAATTTCGAGGTTAGAATAATATTATTACTAAGATCTTAATTAGGCCATTTTTAAAAATCGACACAAATTGGACCCTTTAACAACACACTAATTACGACTTGGACCAGACAAAACCAGTTATCACTTTTTTGATATATTTGATGTCCAATTTAGGGGGAAGTCATTCATGATCGATGATAATTATTTTTTCATAAATTTGAAATGGGTCTATTTTTTATTTTTCTTACTATATAAAAAATTAATTTTATATATTTACCACTAATTTCCAGCCTGGAATTCGTTGATTATTAATTGAGGATTGGAATTTTAATTTTGATTCCATAATTATTTCTTTTTTCTTTTTAAATTTTGAAAAGCAAATCACATCTAAATTTTTTTTTTTTTAAATTTTAAGTTCAAATAAAAATTTTATATTTTATTGGTTATTGACAAAAAAATTTTAATTTAAATTCAAATAGTATAAAGCTCTGAAAAAGGCGAAAATAATTTTTATTTTCTAGCAAAATATTTCGTTAAAAAAAAATCTTTGGAAATATAAAATTCGATATATATCCTTCGATAATAATGCATATAATCATTTTATTTTTGGATAAAAAACACACACATTAAAAGAGAAAAATTCTTTCTCTTTAAATGCAATTTTTATCGATCGTATCTCATCTAAAAATAATATACAATTACATTACATTAATTTTTTTTTAGCCAAAGATAATAAATTCTGTGTGACAAGTATTTGTTTTTGATTTCGAATAATGGATTGGATCAATTGCTGTCACTAAAGGAGCCAATAAAATGTATTCAGATTTCAGAACGTCTCGATTCATTTTTAAGGAATACTTTTTTTTAAGAACATCTGAATAAAGAAAAAGCTCAGACCATTTGAATTCATGTAACATAAATATTCTAATCACCTATCGCATTTTTATCTTACCCTCTCTTTATTGAAATATAATAGAGGACTCAATATAAAGATTGTTTAACCCAATTATTTTAAAACATGAACATGAACTTATTTTGACCTCCTCATCCCCGAATATAACATCAAAATTTAAAAATAAAAGTTGAATTTACATAGACATGGTGTGAAAAAAACATGGCAGAAATTAATAAGGAGATATTCTTCCTTTCATCTACACTATTATTGGAGAATGGGTGGGGGACATGCATAAGAAACGTATTTATATGACTTTGAAAGGATATATTTTGACGGATGTCAAAATACATTGGTTTTCGAATATCATACTATTTAGACCTGTAATAGTGTAAAAGTATAAGATTATTTATCTACATTACACTTAGATAAGACCGGGCCTAAAGTTCCCGGATTAAAATTTAAACCTGGCCAGGCCGGCGCAGAATTTAATTAGCATTGGATCTCGTGTTCTTTTGTACATAACCTTTTTTTATTATTTATCGATTTTAGATTTTACAGAGTTTCATGAGTATGTTATATTTTATAAGGTTTTGATTTTTTAAAAAGAGAATATAAAAATGGGATATTTAGTTTAATATTCTGAATTAAAGTGTTTTGATTTGTAACTAATTTTTTTTATTTATTTTTTTATTGTGTTTTTATTAATATTAGCTCTATTTTTTCCTAATATTTCTCTCTTTTTTTAAAAAAAAGAAGTAAGTTTGAGGTTCAATCATATTTTATTATATATTACTAATGAATAATATATTTGTTGAGGGGGGGGGGGGGGTCTTCTTATTTTGTCGAGAAGAGAAAAAAAAGGGATAATCATTTTTTTTTCTTCATCTTTTACAATAAATAAAAAAAATAAAAGACGAAAAATAAAAATTATCTGAAATTAAAAATTCTTGTCGCGTAATAAAAGGAGAAGGAATAAATAAGTAAAGGGTTTTAATGATATTTTGTTCATATTTTTGAAAAGATCGGTCGAAAGTTAAAAAGGATGGAACAATTATACCTAGTTTTTTTTCCGGTGTAATTAAGAATTTTTTTTTTATAAAATTAATATTATTTATAGTAGCCATAGCTCATATCAGGCACTTAGTTTAGTTTGGAATACATGAAAAATAATGTTTTTGCTGTCGCGACGATATTATAATGCGGAATTTTAAACCGTCTAAGCTGATTTAAGATAATAATCAATTTCACAAAGTTTGAATCCTTAGGACGCATCTTAATATTTGTTGTTCTTAATTATGAATTCTATTAAAAATGTCATAAAATTTATATAGATATTGATATAATGTGAAATGTGATATCTTTAAAATATGTTTAAAGATGTATTTATTCCTATTTATTTAAAATATAAGAATAACTATTCAAAATCAATATACCTTGAATTTTAATTGGGAAAAAAAAATTGAGCTACGCAATCTTAAAGCTCTATTTTATTGTTTCGAATTTGCTTCTCCAAAAATAAAATATTTTAATTATTAGAAATATGAGGAAAGTTTTAATTAAATACTAATGAGTTTATGTTTTTCGAAAGATGCTATAATCGGCGGATATTGATTAAAAATATTATTTTTTTTTAAACTAGTAATTAAGAAATTATAGATATCTTTCATCATCGTATTAAAATTTCATCGATAAAAATGTTTCAGGTTTGAAATATTGTATGAAACTTTAACATTCACTTATTATATAGATTGGAGAATTTTATCAATATTTTTAAAAAAATTTAAATTAAGTAGTTAATTCGTTTTGAAAAAAATTCTACTTCATTTTTTACTATTCCAATTATGTGATAATAGTATGTCCGATGTAAGAATATATATTTTTTAACTTGAAGTATTTTTAAAAATTTCTTTTAACACTTATTTCTGCTTTATATAATGTGTAGTGGCATTATAGGTATAACGATATCCATTTGTAAGCTGTTTCTGGTATATAATATAATTTAGGCTAGATTCATAATTGATATTCCAAGAATTATTGAATATATATTAGAAATATAAATAAAAGTTTATTTCAAAATAATAAAGTAGTAAATTTTATTTTGGATTAAGGAATATGAGGAGGGAACTTCTATAAACTAAAGCAGATTCTTTTGGAAAAAAAAATTAGAGCGAGAGTTTACTTTGAGACTATTCAAAGTTTATTTTAAGTTATTATACTTATTTATAATAGTTATGAGTGTCAATCAATTATCAAATATTTAGTTATTAATGGGTGTTATCATGTAACTTATCCAATATACATTACTAAAATTTGCTACCAATTCGCTTTAAATAATATCAGATAAAAAATTCGATAAGAAAATTCGTAGCTAAGCCTAAGTATTATGGGAGTGGGGAAGGGAATTGGTAACTATTGCGTTCATAGCCATTTCAAATTCATTATCCTTACTCAGCTTCCTTATGTTCTGCTAACAAAAGATTTAAAAAAAAATTTTTTAATTCAATTAACAGATTTGAAAATGTTTTACTTTTTACTATCATAAATAGCTCAAAGCCGGAATTAGACAGGATAGGATGATACTTAAATCAATGATCCTAGCGACATCCCAGTTGCAAGAATCTTAACTCAGGAAGATGGGAATTTACAACACCTCATAAAAATATTAGCCAGAGCTTTGCTTTAAAGGGAGATGAATGGAGTTTTTTTTGGATAAAAAACTACCTCTCAAAGACATAAATGATAAAAACGTTGCAATCCTACCAATAACCTGTAAGCAGAGGCGGATTGAACATATACCTGGATGAGCATTTAATTAACTTACTTTAACGAATAAATGAAAGAATCGACAGATTCGCAATAATATCTGAATAATAATATATTTATTAGAGATAACCATTTTCAGACCAATGAAACATTTAGCAATTTTGAAATTGAAAATTTAAATCATGGGAATTTTCTTGAGATATCTATTATATCAAAAAAAGATAAAACTTAGAGACAAGCAAATTAACAGCAAACAAGACATCAATCTATTTGACGAATCATAAAAAAGAATGGATGTTATAATATGTATATTGTAAATAATTAATGGCCTTGGTCATCACAAAGATGAAACAAGAAGTCACGTATGCTGAAGTGAAGAGAGCGTACTACCGAATTATAAATAAGACCCATAGTATATAATTAATAAAAATCTATTGAGGGGAAAATTTTATCGTTAAATCAGCTCAAATTTTTTAGAAAATTTAATTGAGGATTATAAATAGCCAGTTCTTTGTAGTATTGTGAAGCAGTATTATATTAAAACATTCATAATAATCCACTTCAAAATTCCAGATATTTATAAACTACAAAAAAAAGCTTCATTTGTTGAGTTAAAATATAGTTAAATTAATTCTATAATATTATTTAATATTAATTATGTCTTAAATAATAACGATCCACAATATTGCAGAAAACATAAATATTTCAAACTTATTGTTTTATATAAATAAGCTTTTGTAAAATTTAAATTTCGATTACGACCATATCACGTTGAAAGCACCGGTTCCCTTTCGAACACCGAAGTTAAGCAACGTTGAGCCTGGTTAGTACTTGGATGGGTGACCGCCTGGGAATCCCAGGTGTCGTAATCTTTTATTATTTATAAATAATCTTTCTTAAATAAGTGTTTTTAAATTTTTGCAAGATTTAATTCATCCTATTAATAAGCAACCGACTTAATTTACGTATTATATAATTTTTATGACTGTGAAATACGAAGTGATTATAATTTATTCTATTCATTTGCTACTTGAAAACCACGATCAGTAGCTGAATAAAATATATTATAGACGATGTTCAAGATATATTTTTCTCTTAGTGAATTTTGAGGATAAAAGTTCCAAAATGGATGAAACTTTTCATTTTACCTGCGAAAATAATTTAGTAGCCACAGTTAATGCAGCGATAGTTTTAGAAAAAAGAAGAGTTAAAATTATTCCTACATTTCAAAAGTGTCAGTCTTTAGAGAATAACAATAAACAAAATATGTCCAAAAATATGGTTGATAATATATTTGAAAAGACATATCAAATACCACAAGATGAAATTCATTTTATGTAACCATGTTATAGAAAAAATATTAACCGAAAAACTGCAAGTCTATATAATTTATATTATAACATAGGATTTATATGATGGTAGTGAAGGGAAATCAACCCTCTTACCACCACCCACCCCCCACCCCTATCCTTGGAAATGTCTTGTTCTTGTAAATATGATAGTCCTTGAATTCGTGTAATATTTAATGAATAAAAACTTTATATTGACATAAACATTAAAAATATTAAGATTCCGATACTTTCTTAAAAATTATTCAAAATTTGATGTGTAAAAGCTTATATTAATATTTTGGAAAAATAGAATAGTAAATTATTTGATTATAGAGATTATCAAGAGTATTCTTTAGAAAAGAGGTCAATTCTTAATTGGAACTATTACTGTATTGATCTCTTAACCACCACAAATCTTAAAATAACACTTTGATTTCAAAGTGTCTAAAATAAATAAATGAATTTTATTGATTTAATTGTCTGCTTGGGGAGGGGGCAGGGCAGACAAAGGCTTTCTATTGTTATACACAAATCGAATTATATCAGTTTCACTGGAAACCTCCCTCTCAAGGAGTTAACCTAATTTTTTGATCATTTTTATTATTATTTTTAATATAAAATATAATATATCAAAATTTATCTAAGAATAGAGTGTTTGTGTTGGTCAGGTTGCTGATCCTACCGAAGACCGATTAAAAAAGATAAAAGTTTACTATGAGTTGCTTTTTGGTTAATGTACATGTTCATTAAGTAAGACATAAAACATGATTATTTAATGCCTAACATTTTATAATATCTCATTCATCGTTTAATTTTATTCTTCCGGTTCATTCATTCGTCAATTAATTTAATTTATTAGAAATGGAAATCATAGAAGATGATAATATTTTTGAATCATCACCCTCAGCCAAAGAATAACTATTGGTTTAGAAAATAGTATTAGTAGTGGAAATGAAAAAAATCGATCAAATTCAAATTTGAAAATATTTTAAAGAATTATATAAATTTTTTGATAGGATAATTCTGAGAATCCAGATATTTTCAATTCTTTAAGGACGAGTAAATTATGCATATATATCAAATTGAGAGCTCATATTTTAAATAAATGAATAAAAACTTTAATAAAAAACCAACTTATAGTTATGATTAGGACTGAAAACAATAAAAACCCAAGATTAATGAAATATTGTATTGGTATTAGATGGGTAAATTTTTTTAGAAGATAATTAAAATATTTAATTATAAATCAATTTTATTTTTTAACCAAATAGCTATCACATTCAAAAACAAAAACTAACTAATATGCTAATCAAATTGATTTAAATTATATTCAATAAATTTGTATTGGTTTAATCCTTTTGTAAAAATAATATAACAAAAATGATTTGATGATATAATCAAAAATTGTAACACATTTCATTTTTAATAAATTTCATGCAAAATAAAACTATTATTGCTTAACAAAAAAACATTTAAACATTTTTTAAACGGGACCGAATTGAACTAAAGGTCTGGTCTCACTTGACTTAATGGTCTCGGTCAGGTCTCATTTTAGAAAAAAAGGACCGGACTGTTGCAAACACTAAAGAATAGATACAGATACTTTTAAAATAGTCTTTATTATATAGATATTTTTATAAAAGTGTATAGATACAGTTACTATATTTTATATATATACTTTAACAACTCTATTAAACATTAATAATACCGGTTATCACACTGATGTATTTGGGTTGTGTGTTTTTTTATAAGATTCATTTGCTCGTTTCTATATCAACATTTTATTATAATATAAAAAATACATTTAAATAATGAACGCACAAAATTTTATATAATTAATTGAATTTATAGTATCAATGACTTTGGGTCTATAAATTCGCTCTATATCAATATTTCATATTATATTCCCAGTGGTCATATCGTCAATTTAAATTAAAAAATGGTTAATTAAATTAAATTATTTGAACGATGAAAAATAACGTGTTAAGATATAACATAAGCAATTTTAAAAAATAACAATTTATTTTAAAATAAATATATTTTTATGCCTCAATTCAATAAAAAGTCAACCAACACATCGTTCCTTTTGCAACAAATATGCTGAATACTCATTATATATTTTATTCAAGCCCTACATTTCTAAAATACAACATAATCAAATCTCAAGAGGGGATTCAACAGGGAGACCCCTTTGTCCCTGTCCTCTTTTACATTGGGATTTACAAAATAATCCAGGAAATTCAATCCAAATCCATCCTTACCTTAAATTCCTGGTAGCTCGATGATGAACAACCTTTCCACAATCCTGTCCATCCAACCCATCATCGAGGATCTCTCATATATAATAGGACAATCACTCAATTTCCTAAATGTGAGATTTGCTTCTTAAATCCTACATCCAGTCTTTTAGGCACCATATACCATGTCAGTAACAGAGATGAGATGATACATCTTGTATCATAGGTAGTGAAAAGCCTAATGAAATTTTAAAACAAATCCCTTAACAATTTGTCTATAATAAACATATTATTTATTTACCTCCTTGCTCATAATCCTTTTTTTAATCAAATATGCCTGAGATACTCACCGATCTTCAAATGTAGTGATAGATTTCTATGGACCCCAATGAAGGATTTTATTTTAGTCAGCTAATTTCTCTCGAAATCAGTCGGTTCATTTTAAGCATTCAATCTTCTCTAGGGGATATGTATCTTTTTTTTATATACTTTTTAATGTTTTTGTTCTTCATAAAAAATATATTTTTTTTATATATAATTAATAATCTATTCTTTTTTAAAATATTTTTTTAATTTAATTTTGTTCGTATTGTATTTAATTTTTTTACATTTATTTTATTATAAAAATTCACAAAATAAAATATATTATGATTTTAGGGTAACAATGAATTGAAATAAATAAATCTAAAACAATACTAAAACACAAAAAAAATAATCCATTTTTTCAATTTTCTTCATCATCCTCACTCTGTTCAGCTATAAATTTATCAATTCTCATTTGAGTTGCTTCATATGCGTCCTATTTTTTTAAAAAAAATCATATATTTTAATTGGCAATTTATTATAAAATCACTTATAAACTATTTTTTTTAACTTGATAAAAAATTGTACTTAAATTTACTGTAGTTTTTTTCTTCTCTTAAATAAATATTAAAAAAATATACAAATATTGAATCCAAATCATTCCTCAGTTACTCCTAACTCATCTATCTCACTCTTTCTAGAAGTTTCCCTATTTCCTATTATTTTCTTTCCCATAAACTTTTTTTAAATGTAATTTATCAAACACCTCCATATCTTTTTTTACAAAATCCGGCCGATTGGAATTTTAAAAAAAATCTAAATTATATTAAATCATATAATAAAGCATTTTGTTCATATACTGCTTATATATTTTTAATTTCCTATAAAACACAGTCAAGATGTCAAAATTTTTCTGCCCGGCGGTTAAAATGATCCAAAGAAAAAAATCCGGGCTGACCAAATTATTGAGCTGACCTTAAATGATTTTTCAAATTTAGACAGTATGTTACCAGCTGCAGGTTTCTCATTAAATTATCTTAGAGCAACTATTATGGAGAATTATCATGAAAATATTATCAATTAATTTTTTAAACCTTTACGGTCTTTTGAGCTTTCAAAAAATGTTCCATATCCGTTTTAAAGACTTCTTCAAAATATTTATCTTGCTCTTGGTACTGTTCGTCTTCTTCGCATATCCTTGAAGCGTTGTTTAAACAAAAAAAAGAATTAAATTTTATGAGATATTAAGTATCTGATAAGTAGCTCAATTGCCGATGATCTAAAATAAATATCAGGGAAAATCGATTTTAAAAATGTAAATTTTAAATAAGTGCGTCGACTTTGTAAAACCAATTCGGTGAAACATAATCGTTTAACTATTTCGCACGATTCTTCGTTAACTATATTTACTTGAGGATAAAAACTTCATAATGTTGTCAAAATCTATTATAAAAAAATTCGTATTTTTAAAAAGGAAAGAAATGCCTCTATTTATATTCTAGGATCGAGCATGGTATACATACATAGGGAAATTATCAAATTTTTAAATATATTTACTATATTTATTTTTAATTCATGTTTTAAATAGTCTCCTATAATACAAGAAGTTAAAGAGTATTCAAAGTCTCATAATGTAGTAAATATTCAAATAAATATGCAAATTAGTGTTGTTAAATGGCTTATTTTGAGCCGATTTTTAAAAACGGCTAACAAAATTTTATTAGGAAAATTATAAAGCAACCTTAAGATTTTGCTCATAGGTGACACAAAGGTTTTAACATCTATTAACGAAATCTCGAGGCTTAGACAATTTTTTTCTGGCTAAAATAATTAGTTGGGTGTTTTTAAAAATCGGATCAAATCGAACAGTTTAACAACACTAATCCAAATATACGATGCTAATGCCAACTGTTTGCGTTTTTTCAGATACCTTTCATATTTATTTTAAAACTAAAAAACCTCCTTCGTCAAAAGATAGAAATGAAAAGATTATATTTGTTTTAAAATATTAACATCCTCGATATCCATATCATAATCTTCTATATATAATATATAATCGTGCAATATTACATATCGCGTCCATTTCCTTCAAATAAAAATTATATAAGTGAACACATAATTTATTCAAAAATATTGTATCATAATTTATTTTGAAAAAATATAGATGATTAAACATTTAATTCTAATGTCTAATAATTATTGCAATTTTAATGGTAAATATTGTGTACTTCATTAGCTTTTTGGAGCATAAGATATTCCAATTAGTTGGGCACAGTAAATGAATAGTCACATTATTGCGAGTCATTTCTCGAAATTAACTAAGAATTTTATCCAATCGATGAAGTTTTGTAACATTTTTTCAATTTTAAATAATTTTGCGGACAAAGTTTTATATCCTTTTGAAACTATGAGATTTATTATATGGGTCAGGCATCTAATATTATTTAGAGGTTTTAATGTGGCGTCTTTTTTTCCTGTAATTTGAGAATTTTCAAAGCCGCCAGTATATTCGCAGCATTTTCATGTGTTATAAATAATACCTTATCAAATACGTTATAATTTTTTTTAAGCATTCAGTCAACTTTTATGAAATTTGCAGATTTTTTTTATTTAATATGTAAATAATATATAAATAAAAATCAATTTATTAGGTATCCTAAAAAGACATATCTATTTAAAGCATCCGGCCTTGAACATTAATAATATTAAAGGTAGCAAATAAATATCGAAAAAACTATTAACATCTATAGAAAAAATACAATTATAAATATGAATACACTAAAACTTATAATAAGGAATAATCTCCAAAATATTCGAATCGGAAAACTTCCGGAATATATTATTAAATATTAATGCTTCCATTAAAATTTGGTTAAGATCCACTGCCAAGGAAAAGCTCAGAAAAATATTTGATATATGTCAATATAAAATTATTTCCAAGATTTTAAAAACGATATATCTATAACAGATCTATGGTCTGCATTGAATGGCATATCGTACTGATCACTGCCCATTTTATCAAAGACTTTAAAATGATAAATATATTATTTGATATCGTTTCTTTCTCACTTCCCCATAAAGCCACCGATGTTGCTGATTTAATATTGGAATGCCTAAAAAATTATAACTTATTTGATAAAGTGTTATTTATAACACACGACAATGCCGCCAATATATTGAGACACCTTGCTAAAACCTTTAAATAATATGAGATGCCTAGCTCATGATATCAATCTTCTAAAGGCATTAAAAAGTTGTCACCAAAGTTATCAAAAATAGAAAAAATCGTTGCCAAACTACATCGCTTGGATAAAATTCTTAATAAATTTCGACAAAAGACGCGCAAAAATTTGACTATTCCTTTATCTTGCCCAACTAGGTGGAATAGCACATTTCTTATGCTCCAAAAAGCTAAAGAAGTACATAATATTTACCATTAAAATTGAAATTACAATATTTATTAGACATTAGAATTAAATGTTTAATCGTATATACTTTTCTCAAAATAAATTATGATATATATTTTTGAATAACTTTACGTGTTCTCTTACTTATTTTTTATTTGAAGGAAATAGACGCGCTGTGCAATATTGCACGATTGTAGATAGAATTTTATATGGATGTTGAGGATGTAAATATTTTAAAACAAATAGATTTTTTTCTATCATATTTCTATCTTTTGACGAAGGAGGTTTTTTAGTTTTTTTAAAATAAATTAAAAGGTAAGCTCTGAAAAAATGCCAACAATTGGCATTAGCATGGTATATTTGGATAGTACAATTAAATATTTACTACATTATGAGGCTTTGAATACGCCTTTACCTTCTTGTATTATATAGGCTATTCAAAGCATGAGTGAAAAATATAGTAAATAATATTAAAAAATTTGATAATTTCCCTATGTACATATGTACCATGCTCAGTCCTAGAATAAAAATAGAGGCATTGCCTTCCTTTTTAAAATATAAAGATTATCATAACAAGTTCAAACAATATTTTTATATTTTATCTATATTATCTTCCTCTTAAAATACGAATTTTTTCATAATAAATTTAGACATTATGAAGCTTTTTATCCTCAAGTAAATATAGCTAACGAAAAATCGTAGGAAATAGTTGAATGATTATGTTTCACCGAAACAGTTTTACAAGGTCGGCGCACTTATTTGACTTTCCCTTTTGCAGGCCTGGCCCGAATTTCAAATGTAGAAATTAATTCTTTTTTAAAAATTATTGTACCAAAATAATAAAATAATAGATATATATGTTATATTGAGTCTAGTTTTTATATTTAAAATTAAATATTTTTATTTTTCATAAAAAATTCAACATAAAATTGATAAATTTAAATATATTTAAAAAAATTCTAAGGCCCGACCCAGCCCAAACTTGATTTTTTTTAAAAAAAAGAAGCCTGGCACTGCAGATCTCTAATTACAATAGCAGCATATCATCTTTTTTTTAAATATTAAACCATATCTCATGTTTTTTTGTTGATAATAATAAAATATTAACATTAAATATAAATAAAATAAATTATTTTACTGAAAATAAATAATTAGGAAATTAATCCTAAGCATATCTTATGGAAAGCTGACGGACACTTAGCCGATGCAGAATTTTGACTAATTAAGTTTTCGCCGATTTCATATCTAAGCTTGATCACGCTTAACCAATTTTTTCCCCTAAAATCTCGGCTAAGTTGTTTTGTTGTAGGCTAAAATTAGCCAAATACGCACTAATCCCAGATACTCTTAAAGATACTTTTTTTCAAGATACATTTCCTTTCCTATTAAAATTAGGTACAATATGCATATTGTCAAAATTGAGAATCTATTGTTAAAACTTAAACATATTTTTTTATTCTATCCCTAAACACATGTCACCACAAAAAGTCGTAGCACTGGAAGGTAACGTATTTTACTTTATGAATAACAGGTTTATATTAGCATAATATTTAAAACATAGTTATGCTCAGACTTTTAATCTGAATAAAATTAATTAATGTTTGGGATAAATTATCATCAGAGATGAGTATTAAGATTTTTGGCAATTCATTATGCCAAATAACATTAGTATCGGTTTAATTTTATATAAAAAAATAGAATAAAATAATTATAATAAAAACGCGAAATAAAAGGGTATCAAAATGTGTTCAATAGGTTCGAACTAAAAATGTAACTATTTATATATATACCTACAGGTAGCCATATCTCCCCTTATCAGCAGAAGAACTCCCACAATTTTTTCCTCAACATGCGTGAATATATCTACCACAAATCTTCCACAATTTTAAAACTTCTCCCACATTAATATTTTTTAAATGTTAAATAATAATTTTTAAAAACTATTTTAAAATTAAATTTAAAAAGATGATCAATAAACAAATCCAGTTTGTTTCAATTTAAAAAAAAACATGAGTACGATATTTTTTTCTTTATCCTGGGTGTAAATCGAAAAATCGACTTATATATTTTTAAATTCAAAGTAAATTTTATCAATCATTATTACTATCTTTTTCGTAGAGATTCTCAAAGTTTAATATGCCAATTTATAAAAAGAGTATCCATTTTATTAAGAAAGCAATACATCTCCCAGTATAAATTAAAACTCTAAGATATAATATTAAATTAAAAAACATAAATTATATAACAACTAGTGCTTTCTAAATTCAGCGTTTGTGTTTTTGCATTCTTGTTTAAATGGAAGTGAATATCATTAAAAAATATTATAAAACGCAGAAAAAAAAATTGTACAATCCATTTGGAATAAAACGCAAAAAACCCATTTATTTTTAAGCACTAAAAATAAACTGATTTCATAAAGTATAATAAATTAACAACTATGAATACTCTTCAGTCAGTCAAAGGCCTGTAAAAAATAATATTTTCCCTTGATAATTCTTACTTAGCAGTCCGGATCTAGACTCTACAACTCAGCGACACAGATCTCTAATGTAAGTAAATAAATTTGCAAATACCTTAATTTATGTGCTTGCACAACTTTCTCCGCCAAACTAATTTTCATCTGCACTTTATTGAATTCTTCTGTCAAAGTTCTTAATTCTTCGCATATTTCGCGTTTTTGATTAACCGTAGCTGTGCATTTGGCTTCACATTCTTCGTTTTTTGCCTTTAAATCGAAATCCGCCGATTTAATGCTAGCTTCTAAGTAGGAAATGGAGTTGAGTTTGGAAACTATATCCTTCTTCAGCTTCGTTATATTTTTTATTAGAAAAATAACTATATTAAGAACGAACGTTGAATTTAATGCAATGTGCAGCTTTTTTTAAATCACATCTCAACAATTTATGTTATTTTTTCAAATTAAATTCCTATAGAATTTCAATAATTATAATTAGTTTTTGAGGAGATAAAATAACTTTTTATTTGCAGGTTATTTTTAAAAAAAATATTAAGATGACAATAAATTTTTATTAATTTCATTGGTATAAGAAAATTAAGAAAATAATGATAACCTTTATCAATATTCTCATATTTTAAATATATCAACGATAATTTTGAAATTGACCTATAATGTTGCCTTAATTCAACGATCATTTTTTAGAAGTCTATTAAAGTTTATTTATTTTTTGATAAATATGATATAGATGGGATGGTAATGAGTAGAAATTGGCTCTTAAATTCTTATATTTGATGCTTGTCTAACCCATCCTTAATGGGTAAAGTAAAAATGTAATGTTGCAAGAGCTTGGCTAAACAAATAATATAACGTAAGTAAAAGTTTATAAATAAAAATTTCATAAGCTGGTTATTATTTTTAAAAAATGATAAAGTTTTGATTTATAAAATTTGGAGAAAGGTCTAACAAAAGGAAGACAATTTAAATGTTATGAACTGATTCTTGAACCCCGTGACCATATGCTCTGAAGGAGATGGGGAGTTTAAATAGGAGGAATTACTTGTTCTAGAGTCTCGCTTTCCTTTTCGAGCAACGTCCTTACACTAGACACTGTTTGCCTGGCGTTTTCGACAGTTCCTCGCAAAAAGACTTGCATTTCCTCTAATTTTTCTGGAGTCAATTGGTGGGCCCTAAGCTCGTATTTGCAATTATAAAGTTCTAGCTCCATCATTCTCGTATTGGTGATGATGCAAGAGGCATTTACCTATTCATATTTTTTTTAAATTATATAATAAATGAACTATTAATAAATTAATCAAGTTAGATATAATTTATAACTTTATAAAAAATAAATAAAAGAATTTTATTTATTAAAGAAAACTATAGTTATGGTGTATTCAATTTTTATGTTTATAAATTATAATCTACTCTATCTTACTATTAATGTTTGTTTTAAAAAAATCCAACTCTATTTCTTCCTATAATTTTGAAAATTAATTGAAGTCTTTTGATTTTTAAGTTAATGTAGAGTCTTGCAACTTAATAAGAAAAAAGTAGGCTCAGAAATCTGAATATTGGGCTTGAAAGCCCGGCACATGGAAAATATTTTTCAACCAGGCCAACCCAGGAATTTAAAATTTTTTCCTGAAACCCTTAATAATTTAAATTTATGATTATTTCTTTCATAAAACATGGGTAAATTATTTTTTTGGGGCCAGGGCGAAAAATATTTCAGTGCTTGAATTAGGCCACACTGATATCCAACTAAAACACTAACTTAAAAGTAGGGGTGGAAAACAAAAAAAAATTTTTTTAATATTAAAAAAAAAACACTTTCCGCTGATTTTCAAGATTAAGTAATTTCAATATTAAAAAATTAGTCGTATATAGACCTTTGCATTTTTTTTTATTAAACAAATATATAAAGTATTGAAGTAGGAATTAACTTTTTTTTAAAAAAAAAATACGTTTTTTATATTATAAAACACAAAGAAAACGTTTACCTTTGTCCATAATCTAATTACAAAATACATTATTTGATATTTGAAGAAAGACAAAATCGAGAAAAAACAAATGTTTTAATTTGGAAGCACTATTCTTATAATTGATTTTAAAAAATTGACAATATCTTTTTACCCCCATGAAAACCTGAAAAATCACATTAGCAAAAAAAAATTCTTTATTAAAATACATACCCAAAAATATACTCGAATTTTTATTTTTAAATATGGTTTAAAATGATATTACAATATAACAAAATGAAGCATTAATAAAAGACCTTTTCTGTCAAAGTATTCAATTGGTCATCCTGGATAGCCTTATTCTTTTCGAGCTGCAAAATTTCTTTGCCAATCGATTCGATATCGTTCCCCAATTGGAACTTTTTATCTTGGATGATCTTCATGTCCTTCTTAGAGAACTTTTGAGTATTTAATTTAGCTATCAGAGCGCGGTGTTCAATTTCTTCTTTCTCCAGTTTACTTTCTTTTATATTTTTATAATTATTTATTTATGGTGCAATCGCTACACAATAAGTCATATAAATTCTTTAATATTTATACGTAAAAGATAAAAGTAGTAATTTATAGAGGTTATTGAAAATATAATAAACTTAATGTGTTTGTGATGGCAATTTTTTCGGATTGGTTATCAATGAGATGAGTTAAGTGATTTCTGCATTGCTCTCTGTACACATTGAGATCTCTAGACTCAGCTTCCAAATCTATCCTCTTTTGTTTCAGCCTAATTTGTTTAAAAAAAATTTTCAATTTAAAGCATTGTTTAACTGATATGTAATACTACCTAGCAGACCCTATTCTTTGGCCTATTTCTTCTCCCAAATTTCAAACTGTCCCCATCCAAAAAATTTACCGCTGCACCTTTACATTTTTTTTAAAATAATTCTTTTTGGTTTCTAGTGTGAGTAATATACGAAAAAAGGGTAACTTGGTTTTATTAAGACGTGAAAAGGACATAATTGAAAGTATTAACTTTGGAAATATTTTGAAAGTATTTAAAAATACATCCCAACCAAAAATATATTGTTAATGCTAATTTTTTATTAGTTTTACATTGCTCAATCATTGGTCATAATATCAATTGTTATATAGTTAAATTACATTTGTATATCTTTTATTAAAACCCCTAAAAAGTATTATGCAAGCATTATACTAAATTTAAAATAATATTTGTAACATCTTATTATTTTTCAGCTATAAGTCAATTCTCATCTATAAAAACATATTTGATCATAATTATATTTTTTGTATGATATTTTTGTGCAGTATTTTTAAATAAAATAATTGTATATTTCAATTTTGTGTTAACATAACTCAAATTCATTCTGAAATTTCTTCCAACCACCAAAAAATTTTTTTACCTGCTATTCCCACCAAGTAATAGAACTTGAATTGACCCTAAGCCAAAATGACAATTCATTCATTTAAATACAAATCAACCACTGACAGGCCATTTTGGTTACACACATAAATAATTAAAATTAGAGATCCGCAAAAGTAGGCCCAACCTTACCCAGCATGAACACTATTTTTTTTAAATCGGTTTAGGTTAGGCCTAATATTTTTTCAAAAAAACCAACAGGCCAGGTTTAAATTTTGAAATAAAATTGATAGATTTTAAACTTTTATGCAAGAAACAAGTCACCAATATTTTTTTAAAATTTGTTTGTTAGAATGATCAATAATTTGATTATGTTCAGTGTAAAAAAAAATCTATATGAAATACAAAAAAAATAACTTTTATCTTTAAATAAATTTGTACATGACCAGGCTGACCAATATTTTGGTGAGTTTATGGGACAAATAAAAAAAAAATCGTTTGAGATCAGGCCAGGCAATTTTTTTTTAAATAAAATATCTGGCCAAACTTAAAAGTGTCATCAGCTGATTTGCCAACGCCACTTCAAAGTATATTTTAATGTATGAATTGACAGTCTAGGTGAATATTATATATTGGTCTAAACTTGATTTTAGAGTTGCTCCTAATGCATTAGCTAGGATACAACCATCTATATTGACTATCCCAAACTAAGGAAGAAATTTCAGTTATTTCAACATCTAAAACTTTTATACTGGTTAAAATAATGGATATAATTTAATAGTGAAAATTATTTTTTAATAAGTAATTTGTGTTTGAATGTAGCCTATTTTTAAAAATAAATTTTTAACAAAAAAATTGTAAATAAAATTAATACAAGAAAGAAATGAAAGTAGAGTTGTGCCAATATTAAATATCAGATCAGAGTTCAGCCAATATTTAGCACTTTTAAAAATATTGGATCAAGGGACATTTATTTAAAAAAATACATTCCAACCTAATATTAAATTTAATTAATTTTTAAATGTTAAAAAAAAATATTTTTTTTAGAAGAAATACTAGCTAAAAAAGTGGTTTTGTTATTGTTATGTAATTTAGAAAAAGATTTGAAAATATTTAATGATATTTAAGGAGTTATCATCAGTCACAAAAATTTCCCATATTATGATTTGGGGTTATTAAAAAAAATATATATATTAAATCATATGTGATAATGCACCAAATACTGTCAGCAATAACAAAAAATTTTAAATTGTTTTATTTTTACTCATAGTTTACAGAATCTATTTTTAGTATAGAGAATATTGATTTTTTATGACATTGGTTCAAAGATTGCTAACTAACAATCTAATTATTGGATCAGTTTTATATGATATAGGAAAATATTGAATCTGATTGGAAAAATTTGGGTTTTTTGCCAGAACATCTGAATGCAAAGGTATAAAAAAAATTATTGATTAAAAAATTTAAGCAATTTTATTGAAGATTAATAAATAATTGATTTTTGAAAACCTTTCAAACTCTTGTAGCTTTATCTTCAAGATCTCACATTCATTCTCAAGTCTCTTTCTTTCACTTTCATCAATGTCATTTTTTATTTCACTATTTTCTTTTTAAAAATATATATAAATTATTAAAATTTTTATTAATCAAAGCATTTAGAGGATTAGGTTACAAATGCAAACAATACACAATACCACAATATACAATATTGAAAACATTAAAAACAATAAAAATGTGCTCTATAATGGAAAAAAAACTCATGTTTTCTAAAATAACTTATGCAAAAGTAAAATTTGTGTTCTGTATAAAGTGCCTTAAAAAATATAAAACTAAGAATCTTATGCAACTCAAATAAAATGGTTTATAAATTATGCCCATACCAGCTAAAGCAACAATAAATTATTAACCCTCTCTAAAAATGTACTTTCTTAGATTAACCAATTTGATTGACAATTATTATTCAAAGTTTCAAATCAAATATCAATAGTTAAAAAAAATCATTCAAATAAAAGCCATTTCATTATTTAAACTTATTTGTATTATATAAATTATCTAGCTATTATTCAAAAATATTTGTGAATAATCAATTAACTTTGATTTGAATTAAATTAAATATTTTACAAATTGAATTATAGTTTTATAATTTGTACAAATACAAAATTTGACTTATATAAATACAAATAAAATAATTGTTTGATTTGTAAAAAAAATGTAATTATTCAATTCATATTGTAGATGTACCCTAGATATTAAATTAAAATCATTTTTTAAAGAATATATTGACTAGTAGTTAAATAATGAGGAAAAAACCTATGGATTCAAATAATTAATAATGATAATGCTATAAACTAAATTAAATGAAAAAGTAAAATTATGTAATATACTATATATAATAATAAACCATAACTAGCTAGAAAATTTTGACAAATCTCATCTCTGTGATCATTATTACCATTTTGCATAAAATGTTTATATGATTCAGTAACCATTTCAAGTTCATACATTTTTAATAAGGTATTGTCAACAGATTCCACATCACATTTGAACATGTTATGATAATTAAGAGGGATGTTTTGTAAGATCTATTTGAAAACAATTTAGGACAAAATTAAGTTTAGAAAATAAATACTAGTTGAATATTTTGTCTTTAATATATAAATTGAAATAATTAAGTTAAATTTATAAGTAGAAGAATAGGAAGTGATAAAATTATAAATTAGGCTAATCATACTTCTATGGCCTCAATCATCCAATAAATAGTGGCTAATGAATTATGCCATGATATTAAGCTTCCATTGCAAGAGAGAACTGATTTTTGTAGGTTAAATGGATAACCAATTGATTTCAATGCTTTAAGGAAGAATTCAGGATCATATTTTTGTTGTATACTAAAACTTGCATCAAAATTTCTAAATATGAACTGAATAAAGTTTAAATCTAAAAACCTAAATTAATAACTAAATACCTCAAATATTTGTGAAAATAGTAATTGTGATGGAACATTAAAAGATTTGCTTGTTATTGGATAAGGATAGGAATTTGTTGACAAATACTAAAAAATAAATAAATTTATGATCTAAAAAAATTAAAACCAACATTAAATATTTTATCAATAACTTCACGTTGAAATTTTTTGTCATTAATTGGTCGAGTTTCTTTTTTGCCAAGGATACTATTTCTATTATAGTCTATATATAAATGTAATAAATTGTATTTTACCTGCCAGCAAAAGAAATTTCGCTAGGTCTTAATTTATTATTTGACAACAAGCTAGCCTTATTGCTAAGAATACTCTCTCTTATAGTATTGTTATCCTGTATGTTAATTTTTCCTTGAGATGATAGTGGATAAAATGAATCTCTAGGTTTGTTGCCAATGAAGCTTGTGAGTCTATTAGAATTATAAGTGGTAGAATCCATTATGAAAGATATAAATAATTTGATAATCCCGGCATAGTTGTAAATAAAATACGGACTATTAATATTTTTGTTATGATTTACCAGCTGTTTTTTTAACTTTTTAGTTAGTTAATTATATTTTGTAAATCTCATTATTCCAAATCAATCAACAAACAATCTTATTGAATTAACTGATATTATTGTTGTACAGTAAAATATACTCTTATATAATATTCACTTGAAATATTAACATTTCTAAATTAAAAAAAAATCAGTCTACAAAATAAATAAAATTAACTTAAGATAGCATTCTTACGCAATAAAATATCAAATTCTATTTTTGTGACTAACTATTATATAGATTGTTTATGGATGTATTGCGAGAAGAGTTAATTCCCCCTCCACCTGGGCATTTTCTAATGTAGCCCCCCTTTCTTTGTTTTGAGGAGGAATTGCCAAAAAAATTTATTATTTTTAAAAAAATTTGAATCCCTTTTCTCTTTATTATTGTTTAGTCAGATTCTTTTTAATAATTTTTTATAGCCATAAGCCACATGGAGGCAGAGAAGCAACAAGTTTTTTTTTCAATATTTACATTTTCATTATTTAAAATTTTTCAACTAAAATTATTATTTTGATTTCTCTCATTTTAGCAATTAATATGTATATTAGAAATAAATTTAAGGATAATAATAAGAAAATTTTTTCTTTTTTAAATATTACATATTAAATGTTAAAACTGTTATAGTAAGTAAGCAGAGGACTTTTAAGATTTAATACTTTTATATATTTTTTTATTTAAAATAAAATATATACTTCATAAATCTTCTTTTAAGTTAATTGTTGTTTATCTTATGTTGCTAAAATATTTTTCCTATTATCTATAGTTTCCATTTTATTAAGGATTGAATATATATGATTGTTTTCTAAAATTTATTTTTTTAAATGGAATATTTATTTTATATCAATTATTCATAAAAATTTAGTTTAATTAATATTTTTTTAGATTATTATAGACAATTTATGTGAAAATAAGAGATGTATTTCCATATATTGGCTATGGATGACTTAGATGTTAAGATATACTCTTTTTCTGAAGTTGTAGGATATATTTAAGGGCCGTAGCCAGGAATTTTCACTTAGGGGGGCCAAGTGCTTACTTGGGGGGGGGGGCACTATTTTTTTAAAATCAAACAAATAATTACGCATTCATAGAAATTTTTTCCTATTTTTATTAGAAATTTAATAACAAAATAATACTATAATATGAATATACAAAACAAAATAATACTATAATATGCATATACAAAACAAAATATACTTTAATAGAATACGGCAATTTTTATTTTTAAATTTTAATATAAATGAACTAAAAGATAAATTCTGCGTTATTCTTTTTTCGTACGCCATTAATACTAAATTTTGTTTACGTTTATCCTTCATAGACTCTCTACTGCTCGATAAAACTCTCTTTAATGTAGAGAACGAGGCCTCACAAGAAGCCGTTTATTGCTGCTGAGTAGCATTTATATAATTCTTTAAATGCATGATTATATTTTTTTTTATACATAATATGTAAGATATTTTCAAAATTATATTTTCTTTAGATTCCGAAGCTAGCAATCCTTTTGCTATCTTCATTTCATGATGCAGTGTTTCCAATGGCCATTTTATCTGATAAAAAATAATCAGGATCAAGGAGGGGGAGGGGGGGGCTATGTATTAAAAGATGAAAAAAGATTAAAATCATCTTCTCTAAATCGGTCTAATCAGTTTCTGAAATTTCTGATTTAGTATTACTAGTAGTTTGTAGAAGTGATGTTGCTTGACATTTGTTTAACTTTAACTTAAAATAAGAGTTAATAACTGATTGTTTCTTCATAATTTTAAAATAAACGCTGTAAAATAAAATAATTGGTTATATATTATAATATAAATGTGATACCTATAGAGAATGTTATACACAACAAAAACAAATGAAAAAAAAAATGAATGAATGATAATTTAATATTGGGTAAAAATAAAAATAAAACTGGATAGAAAAAAATTTACAAACTAGACATGTTTGTAGAATAAATATTCAAAATTTATTTTAAATATATAAAAATAATCAATTCTGAATAGACATGTTTTTTGAATATTTTGGAATAAATATTCAAAATTTATATTAAAAATATAAAAATAATCAATTCTAAAAAAAAATTTTCAAATTTGGGGGGGGGGGGGGGCAGAAAAATTTTTGGGGGCCGAAGATTTTTTCTGAGGGCCAGGTTTGGGGGCCAAAAATTTTTTTGGGGGCCGGCCCCCCCGGGGCCCCTCCGTGGCTACGGCCCTATATTTAACAATAATTTTTTTTTGTGCCTAAAATATTTTGCGAAACTTGACCAAGGTATTTTTATATTTAAGCCCGTTGTTTTGGTAATAGTTGTAGAAGGAGATAGTACGATTTCTATTTCAATATTCTGTATTATTTGATTGTCGTCCTCATCAAATGATAAGTTAGAATCAGATTTTATATTATGTTCTGTATTCTGATTCTTGGTCTTATCAAGTATCAATTCAGATGCATATACAGAACCAGACATTTAAACAAAATTTTAAATTAATAAATTAAATTTAAAATGCACTTATTATAACATATTAAATATAATAATAATGAATATATTTATCATGATATAATTTTTAACTTGTTACTTTTAGATATTTTTGTCACTTACATTCTAAAAAAATGAAACTAGTCACAGTTATTTTTTTGTAAAAATGTAACTAATTATTTAACAACACTACAAATATTTAATTTGAATAATGGAACAAAATATCACGTTATTTTGGAAAATTGAAAAACTTGAACACAATTTTTTTTTTCGCTAATTAGTTTTACCAAAATAAAAGAAAAAAAAATGTAATATATTTAAATAACACTCTACATTTAACATAATGAAATTAAAATAAGAATAATTGTCAAATTAAGAAAATATAAGGTCGTTTGGAATATCTAACAAAAATAGGCTAATAAAAAAAAGTATTAGTTGGAGAAGAAAATTCAATAAAAATCAACATTGATGATTGGTTATTAAATTTTTATGGCGGCACCTCAACCCATTGAAATATTCTACAAAATAGATGATTTACCCAATAATATTTTAAATATCAAATTTTTTTTAAAAAAAATATAGTCCCCATATATTTTTATAAATTATTTATTTAAAGTTAAGAGAGCTGTTCTCTCCACACACAAGTATTGGTGATAAATGTCTCAGCAGGGCTTGCACCAACTATAAAAAGACTAATTCGAATTTTTTAGTGAATCTAATATCTTAATCGAGGATTACACGTAGGATAGCTCAATCTTGAAAAAAAAATATTCTTGCCAAGGCTTAGCGAATTTTTTCGACTATTAGGATTGATTCTTGTCTTCATTTAACAACAGACAACCAAATTTTAACAAAATCTTATAAATATTTTGTTATTTTCATAGAAGGTAGGTAAAGAAAAACCAAAAATATATTTGAAATCTTTTATTTAATTTATCTTTATTTTTACTATTACTACTGAAGATATTAAAAATTTTACAACTATATATATATATTATTATTTTAATACTATTTACATATATACAATTTACAATTTGTTTTAAGGTTACTTTCAGAAAAGTTATTTTAACGTTTTACATATACAAATACGTTATCTTTTTTTAAAGGCCGCACAAAATATATTTCACAAAAAGAAAAAAAGGTCTTTAAATTAATTTAAAAAGAAAGAAAAATATAAATTTTTTATATTCTAATTAACATTTCCCTCTTTTTTTAAATCTCATTTTTCATCAGTTTCTTCCAGTTATTCGTCTCTCAATTGATCCATTGGTCATTTGTTCGTATATCTTTAGATTGTTTGTTTGACCATCTGATTATCGTTTGTTGAATCGATTATCGAACATCATGAAACATCGTTGGTTGCACGTCGTTGGTTGAACATTGCTTGTTGATTTGCTGTTTGTATTGATCATCCCATTTCTCTTTCAAAATTTTATATATATATTTTTTACAAAAATTTTTATTTATTTATAACAA